GAGCAGGAAGGCAGATGTTTCCGGCTAGAAGAAGGGTCTAGGCCCGAAACGTCAGCCTTCCTGCTCCTCTGATGCTGCTTGGCCTGCTGTGTTCATCCAACTCTACACCTTGTTATCACAGAGATGCATGTGTTTTTTTTAAACGTTAGGTTGGATTTTGTTAACAATATGAATGTCTGTAAAGCTTTACCCAAGAGCAACACAAGGTGAGAATGACCAGATAGAATGATCAGATAAGTCATTAAGATTCTGCATTTTGTCTCAGTATGGACAGGTAGGCAGAGTGAATATACGATTAAAGGCTTTCCAATGGTGCAGGGTGCCATTGACTGCACACAGCCTTTAACTGCACACAGCCTTTAGCAGAAGTTTTATGTCAACTCTGGCCATACTAAAACCAAAACTAGTTCCATGCATTCAATGACTGAACAGTTAACAACCACTGGCACAGCACCAAAAAGTCCATTATTTGGTATTCTTGCAGTGATCACGGGTGGTTTTATTCTACAGCAATTCCCTTTGCCAGACGTATTTGAGCCACCTGGCAAGTGAAATGTTGGCTTCTAAATAAGAAGGATGTAGCATGTATACGATGAAAACTGTGTTGCAACTTAGAAGTGTAGATTAGTAGTGTGTTGGCACAATGCTCTTGCTGCACTGGGATACCCTGGAGGAATCCACCTGTATTCATCAGAGTGGGTTTTAATATTCTGTGAAAATCTGTTGCATAAGCACATCATCATGAGGAGAAAGCTTGGGTCATAAGAACATAAGAAACAGGAAAAGGAGTAGCCATATGTCCCATCAAACCTGCTCTGACAGTCAGTACTATCATCACTAATTTCAGTCTCCTGTTCACTCCCCTTTTCCTTTAATCCCCAGACAGAACAAAAATCTGAATTCTAATGAGTCATGACCATTTGACCGAAGAAATTTCTCTTCATCTCTGGACTTATAATGTCAATGCCACTTATTACTTCCTCAAAGGACTCTAATAACTTAATCAAACGTGATTTTCCCTTCACAACGGTACCCCTGTCAAAGGAAACAACCTCCTGGTAATCTTGTGTAGTTTAATGAAACGATTTCCCAAAAAGCGAAACTCCAGACAAGATCAACCCAATATAGGAGGCCTTTCACCATTGTACAAACTTGGGACCAATCTAGTCAATATTGTCCAAACTGGCTTCAAGCTAAGTATACTCTTCATTAAATGTGGCAAGCAAAATTGCATTCTGTATTCCAGATGTGGTCTCACCAAAATTCTGCCTAGTTTGTAGTAAGGCTTCTTTATTCTTGTACACCAAGTGCCCTTGCTGAGATGTCATCACGCCAGGCCAGGAGACTGCCACACTGGGCCAGGGGACCACCATGCCAGGCCGGGAGGCTGCCACGTCGGGCCGAGCTGATGCCACACCAGGCCAAATGACCAACACGCTGGACAGGGAGACCACCAAAACAGGCCGGGAGATCGCTGGGCCAGGCTGAAAGACTGCCATGCCGGGCCAGGAGACCGCTATGCTGGGCTGAGTGATCCCCACAGTGGGCCGGGAGAGCGTCACATCAGGCTGCCTCGCTGGATCCAGTCTGAGGCCAAGATGTCGCCGAGAAGAAAGAAGAGAGAAAAAAAAGCACAAAAGAAAAAAAGAGAGAAAAAAATAAGGAAAAAGAAACAGACAATGTGGACAAGCTCCGGCTGAAGCATCCTACTCCACCGCCATCTTGGAAATGAGTTGCCATCTTTGAAACAAGATTTTCCTTTCACAAGTTCCAACTGCTATCTCAAAGCCTTGGGATTTTCTGTGCACCACAATATAACCGCTTTAAAAAGAAAGACCAGCACTTTCCCTGATAGATGTTAAGCTAACAGTCTTATGGTTTCCTAGTTTCTATCTTCCACTTAATAGATGACATATGTTCACTATTTTTCAATCTGATGGGCCCTTTCCAGGATCTAGAGTATTTTGAGAAACTT